CCGCGCCCGCGCGGCGCGCGCCGCGGCCGCGTGTTTTCGTCGCATCGGGGTTCGGCGACCCGAGCGGGGGCGCCTCGGCAGTGCGACCCCTTCTGCACTGGCCACCCGCGCGCGGGCAAGTGAAAGTCGGGCTGCCAGCGCTAGGGGGCACCGACGGTGCTGCAGACGCACCCGCATTTGGGCGGCTCGAACAAGGGCGACCCAGAAGCGCGAGCATAACGTTTGAAAACAGGCGACCCGCACGAGGGCGCCCCGTCGTTGGGCCACCCGCGCTAGGGGCCCCAACGGCGCTACAGACGCACCCGCGCTTGAACGACCCGCGCGAGGGCAATCCAGAAGCGCGATCATTGCGCTTGTAAACAGGCGACCCGCGCGAGGGCGACCTGTCGTTGGGCTGCCCAAACTAGGGGGCCCAACGGCGCTGCAGACGCGCCCGAACATGGGCGACCCGAGCGAGGGCGACCCGACAGCACGACCATAGCGCTCAGCACAGTCGACCTGCACAAGGGCGAACCGAGGTTGGGCAACCCGCGCCAGGGAGCCCCAACGGCGACGCAAACGCACCTGCGCAACGGCGACCCGAACAGGGGCGACCCAGCAGTGCGACCAGCGCGCTCAAGACAAGCGATCCGCGCTACGGCGTCCTTCGCTGGCTCGCGTCAATCTCGCCAATGTTTGCGCGGTCGGTGGCGCCGGCGCTACGGTCGCGCGCGCGCCCGCCAGAGTGCGGGCGGCGCGAGTTCGCGGTCCAAAGTCAGGCATGCGCGTCGTCGCGTGCTCGCGCTTTGGCCCGTGGCGCGCGCGCTCTCGCCGGTCCCGCGCGCGCGCCTACGCGGCGCACTCGGTCCGGAGCTGTTTCGCCCAGACGAGCGAATTGCTTGCCAACTCGTCGTGCGCCCTGGAGGCGTGCTCCACTACCGCCTACCATGGCCGCGCCGCTCTATGATTTTCTCGAACCTGGGGTGGGCAGGCACGCGGAGCGCGACCGCGCGTGGCTGAAGCCGGCGGTCGAGGCGCCGGCGGAAAACGGCATCGAGAGCCCGGAGAACTTGGTCAAACTCAATGTCAGGGCCGCGACCTTCCAGTTAAACGGGCTGGTCGAGGGCGAGGTCGCCTTCTTCGAACGCGCCGCCGCAGAGGCAACCCAGTCCGCCGAGCAGCAGGCGGCGGCCGGGGCCGCGGCGCCAAGCGTTTCCCAGGAGCCGGTGGGCGCTCTCCTGCAGGCGCTCCAGGGTGGCCGCAAGCCAGCGGCCCACGTGGACATCGCCGCGGGCCTGGGCAGCATGTCCTTGGCAGGCTTGCTGGCGTCGTGCCAGTCGTCTCCGCCGCTGACCGACTGGGCGCGGAGCCGGGTCAAGGCTGCTCAGAGCAAGGGCATCGCGAAGCCCTTCCTCTACTCGCCGATCAAGAAGTTCCATCCTTACTACGCGGTGGACAAGAGGCCGCCCGAGGCCCCCGGGGAGCGCGGCGTCGAGCGGTCTTTCGCGGAAGAGATCGCTCGCGGCATCTGCCGGGCGAGGGGCCCCGACAAGAAGCAGGGGGACGCGCCGAGCATCTTGCAGTGGCGCGTCGCTTTCGACAGATGGGCGATCGTCGCGGCGCTCGCCGGTCAGATGCCCATCGCGGCGCCCATGGCTCGCCAGGAGGTTGCGATGCAGCTCGGCCTGTCGGCGCCAGCCTGTGGGCGCGCGACCGCGGCTGCCGCCCTCTACGACGAGCTTCCAGCGGGCCTGGGCGCCTTCGACGTCGCCGCGGCCGCGCAGTCGCAGAACGCGGCCACCGCGCCCCGGACGGAGCGCGCGCGCGCCGCCCGCGGGTTCCCAGCGGCGCGCGACCAAGCGCCAGCGCAGTCGAAGGGCAAGGCAGAGGGCGTCAGCAAGGGCCACGAGGGCGGCAGCGACAACGGCGCCAAGGGCGGCGAGGCCAAGGACCGCGGCAAAGAGCGCAAGGGCATGCCCAGGGCCGACTTCTCACCGCTGACAGGGGCAGCACCCGCCCGGGGGCGCCGCCCGCGGGTCGCAGGCGCCAGCGTCGCCAAACAGGCGCCAACAGAGAGAGTGAGGGGCCGCGTCTGCGCGGGTCATTTCCGCCCGTTGACGTCGAGGCGCTGCAATTCGCGCGCGAGGCGCTTGGCCGCCGCGGCGCGCAGACGAAGCGCGCGGGCGCGCCGAGCGACTGCGCGAAAGCGCCGCGGTGGAGCGCCGCGCGCAGCCCCCCCCCGCGCACCAGAGAACGCGAGATGCACGCGCGGAGCACCGAAGCCCTGGCGGCGCACTTCGAGGCGCCCAGGAGAGCCGAGGCAGCGAGGAAGGCCGCGCCGCCGATCGCAGGCATCAGCGCCCCACTCTTGGAAGAGTTGTCGCGCGAGTCCGCGTGGCGCGACGCAGAGTGCATTGACATCTTCTCGCGCGGCGCCCTTCTGGGCAGGCAGCCTAGAGCGCGGCGGCAACTGTCGCGCGCCCGGCCCGATGGCGCGCGGGCGACACTGGCGCCGAGGTAGCCGGGCGACGCGCCAGCTCGCCCGCGCGCGACGACTCGCTACTTGCTTCAAGTCGCGCGGGCCCTTTCGCCGGCGAGCTGCTCCTCAAGGCGCGGGGGGGGGGGGCGGAGTTGGGTGGGGCGTCTCCGCTGCGGGCGTTTAAGTTCGACATCTCCGCGGCCGGGCTCGCCGCAACATGGGGCGAAACAAATCGCGTGGCGCCCGGATTTGGGGCCTCGGGTCGTTGACGGCGCGCCCAGCGGATTGCCTCGCGCTCTCCGGGGCGGGCGGCGCGCGCGTACTCGCCGAAGAATTGAGCGTGGAATGCGCGGGCCAGCTGGTAGCGGTCGCGCGTGTTTTCGTCGAATTCCACGGCGTGCTTCCAGAGCTGGGAAAGCGGACGTAGATTCCGCTTGCCGCCGCGTCCCGCTGGCTCTTGCCGATAGGTGGGCTGCTGTCAGCGTTTTCACGGAGGGCGGCCGCTTGTTGTGCTCGCGGCACTTGGTCTGCCCGTTCGGCGCGCTTGCATGTTGCCGCGACTGGTGCACTTCGCCAGGCGGCTCGCTAAGCTGCCGGCATCGCGATGCGTGGCCGATTATGTTTCGCGGGGCCCGGCGCGGCCGACCGCGCCGCGCGGCGCTTCGCCCGCAGCGACGCAGTGGCCGGCGCGAAGGTGACGCACGGGGCCCAGCTGGTCGCATTGGGGCTGCTTTTTTATTTTCCCTTTGCGCAGGGCGTGCACTGCGAACCGGCGGTCGACGTCCGACACGCGTCTCAAGCGGTCGCCCGCCATCCAGCATGATTTAGAGCGCGGCATTTTGCGCCGAGGCGCGGCGAAGAAACTCGCGGGCGCTCTCGCATGGGCCGCGCAGCTCTTGTTCAAGCGCTCCGGCAGAACGCATTCTTCGCGCGCTAGCACAGGCGTTTCAATCGCATCGGGCGGCCTCTCGAGTTCGCGCTGCGCAGGCGGGCCCAAATGCTCGAGCTCAGGATGCGCGGAGTGGCGAGTTGGAAGCAAGGGGGCACGCCCGCGGCGCGCGTGTTTTGCGACGCGCGGAGCGCGCCCCCGCGCGCCGCCTCCGCGCTATCGAGGACGCCGGCGGCGCATCACCGGCCGCCCCCTGGGAGTTTGTGGAAGTGGTGCGCAGCGTCGAACGTCGTGACGCGGTGCGTGTGCCATGTATCAGTTGGCCGTCGGTCCATCCCGCCACCGTGCTTGGGTTTCGGTTCGAAGTCCTCATGGACGCTTCGTGGGCTCTCTCGAGAGGGCTCTCGGGGGCTACTGGGGGGAGTTTAGGGGCCTCTTGGGGGCGTCCCAGGGGCTTCTTGGAGAGCTCTTGGGGCCCTCTTGGGGCCTTGTGTCAATGATAATGGATGTGATCCTCTTTTCCACGAGCTGTAAGATCCGCTCGGTCGATCAATATGAAATGGTGCCAGTCTCACCACGCACACACGCACGCAGCTGATGGAATCAGGGAAACCCCAGTCGGCGCGCGTGCCGGCAGCACAGAAGAATCCAAGCAGAAAAATCTACGAAAACACGCCGGTCCGCGACCGAGGGCGGAGCGGTGAATGACTCCTAGGATCGCCATGTCCCTGCGCGACGCCAGGGGAGCTAAGTTGAAATGAAACAACGCATCGTGAGCCGAAATGCCAATCGAGCGCAAGAACCGGCTTTGGAGCATGTCGAGTGGCTCAAGCACACTTGCGGAGGCGTGAATAACTGCGCACGTGCGGTACTCGATGAAAGAGAGCACATACGCTTTATATAACCCCACGAGATCGGCGTCTGTGCGAAAGCGGCGCGGATAAGGCTGTAGATTTTCCAAGAGCACGCGGCGATGCATGAGTTCACAGCGCTGAAGTTATCACCGACGAAGCAGATCTGGATAAAATGTGGAAACTCTCCTTCCCGCTGTCGAAGGTTACGCGGTTAGCACGACCCCACTCGTGCAAGGCGGACTGACACTCAGACATCAAGTCTAGGGCGTCCGAGTCAGAGACGCACGGCAGAATGGAACGGAAAGCAGCGAAGACTACTTCCTCGAACCCAGTGCCGCGGATTGCGATACACGCGTCCGAGAAATAAAAGTTCCACAGTGGAAGGCCCCTAACGGTGCCTTGGTACACCATGTCGCTCATGGTGATAGGACTCGATTTCTGGCCGGACACCACGACGCAAGCACTGCGCTGACGAAGCCAGTTAGAGGCCAGCGAAACGACCGGAGATGGAAGACTAAAGGACTGCAGCTCGGCCGCGAGTCGAGAAGAGTCAACGCGGTCGAAGGCGCCAGAGACATCCGAACAATACAAGGCAATTCTGCTCCCAAGGCCAAAGAAGGATAACCAAGGGAGGGTAAAAAAACAGAATAGCGTCTCGTGTCCCAGTCCTCTCCGGTAAGCGAACTTGAAAGAGCCAAAAGCGCCGACATGTTCAAGGCGTGCGATGAAAAGCTCCCCCACGAAACACAAAATCGGCTCTGTCTCGCTTAGCGACGCCCGTGCGAAGCCGCAGATATGCGTGAGGCGGAGGCGGCGCCAATACTTCAAACAAATCCGTGAAAATGTTATCCTCGGCGGGTGGAAGATTCCACTTGCGACGAAAAAACTGCAAACACGTCGACCTTGTCCAAGCATCTGGTCAGATAAGCGCAACTAAACCTGAAGATTGTGCAACTTAGCTCGCATACGCTCCACGCAAGCTCCGCGCGCTTTCAACAAGGTCTCTGAACAAACGCAAGCAGCAGAAACAAAAACATCAGTTCCGGAGCCAGCGACTTTTGCTTGCATCGACTACATTTGAAATGGCTAAATAATCTTCGGGTTCGACTCTTTAAACCTATGACTGCAACCTGTAGGTTTGAAACGCGAGTGATGATAGCCAAATGCATCTGCGAATCCGTTCCGGGCGAACGCAAACAGACGAAAACGTATCTCAGCGAACACATCACGAACAAAATCGATGGCTGCAAAGACTAATTCCTTTATCTTCTGGTGGAACTTTGTCTGTACTGATAATCAAAACTTCCGGCATTTACAAATTCGTGATCAAACCCTGCGTTCCCTTATTCTGAAAAATGTAATTTAACTTCTCACTGTCTGGCGCAAACAAAAACGCAATCTCTGCTCTTGAGAATATCGTCTTCGCCCGGCGCTGTTGGGAACACGAGACGCACAACCCGGCTCGCTACGCGAAGACCGATTCTGGGCGTACAAGACGAAATTCACGCCTGACGCACCGCCAAACCGAGACGTCTACGCTGGAGACAGGCGCAATCAAAACGATTTCGGAAAGGCGACCGACCGTCGATCCTACTCCCGAAAAAACCGGCGCTGGAACCAACTCTTCCGGGGCGATTGCGTCGTGGCCCGAACTCTGGCAAATTTCTTTGGGCGCGAGGCTTTTGACGGCAGAACCAAAAAATGCAAATCGTAACATTATTCTCAAACATAGAACAAGGTTTCAACAAATATTACCACGAATTCTACATTTAATTAAAACACGAAAACAAAAAATAAACACAGACAGATCTTTCTTTGATAAAAACGCTGTTCAATATTATTTTATTACCAATACATTATAAAAAGAAATAATCAAAGACTAAGGTTAATTATAATTATATTTGAACTCATGGATACAATGTTCTCCAAAGACTGGAACACATCTGATACCGGTTTATCGCTGTCTGGCTCAAAAAGGGGATCCCCTGATATCGTTTGAGAAGCAAACGGCCATGGAAATGCAACATGGCATATCATGCAATACAAAACTCCTCAAGCCCTTGAAAAGAGCGTTCAACTCACTAGCTGCTTATCTACTGCGTTTCGGGCTGTCCCTGAAACTCTCATCTTCACACAGAATATAAACTTTGCAGCTTCAGAAACTGAAGATCAGCAGCCTGCATAAATAACCTTCTGCACTGCATAAAAGAGTAGTGCTCTGAAAATCACATCAAAGGCTCGGCCCAAACCAGCCGAGCAGCAACCGTCCGCACATCAAACATGAAACGAAACAAAACGAGTTTGAATAACCATCAGCTTTCCATGCGGATCCTCCGAACGAGGTCTGCTTTGAGCCCCGACACTGGGAGGTTCATTTCACGCAAAATGCCCTGCAACGCATGCACCGGCATAGCCTCAAGCTTTTTCTGTACGTCCGGTGTGTAGGGCATGTGAGTCATTCTTAGATCGTCCATATTCCGTGCAGCACTGCTCGGTGACAGTTTGAGTCCACTGCCCGGCGGTCTTGCCACGATCTCCCTGGAGCTGGCTGAATGCGAAACTGCATCCGTTGTCGACACTCCGGCTTGTATGTCTGAGAGGCAATAAACAGAAGTACGCAAATCAAAGCCATGAAAACTGCACCGAATGAAACTCGCGCGGCAAATGTCCCAGCTGGGGACAGCAAAAACTGAGACCATTGGTCAAACGGCTCGGCCAAGACATAAGTTGAAACTTGTTGGCCGATCATCGGTTCAGTTGATGCCGCTGCTGCCGCCGCTGCCACCTGCGGCAACGTTGTACCTGAAGAAAAACTGCTTGCCTGAATTTTGGAAAACAGAGCTGCGCGCATGAATCGCGAAGTCCTAGTAGTAGTAGTCATAGATGTGCTCACTTCCGCCTGATAAACCATTTCATGCACATCAATCCTCGGTATATCGTCATCTGCACTGTAGTCCTTGGGCTCGGCGTAGTTGGCGTTCAGGTAATCGGCATCCTCCTGCAACTCAACTCGCTGAGCACGCTGAATCTCGTCCCAGGGGTCGGTCAGCTTCCGCTTCCTGAGTGAGGGTGCTCGGGGATCTGGTCCGAAAGTCCATAGGTTCTCGTGAAAAACTCGATCCTGGTACGGGGTATCCATCTTCTTGGTAAGGCCGTCGGCCAGCTGCTGCTCAGATCGTGCCTGATGATAGCTGCTTCCAAGGAGAGCCTCCGATCCGATAGATGAACACGCTCCTTGACCACACAATCCCACAGAGAACGACAAACTGTGACCAAAACGCCCTTCCACTCTTCTGCTG